AATTATAATTTTTATGCTTACTTTAAATAGCCATTCCGGAGAAATTTAAATTATAGCCAGAAACAACAATATTGTATTACCTAATATTTGTATCTTGATCATCGATAATAGGCTGTCTATATAGTGATTTTATCTCGCTCATTCTGTAATCTTCGTGACTAAATACTAAATAATTATCTGGTATATTAACATCTAGGGCATCGACATACCTTGGCACATTTTGCACAAATTCTGTGCTTATGATATAAATGGTCTGATTATTAGTGGGCAGTCGTGCTAACCTAACGTCCCTCTTATCTAACATAAACAGTAATAAGGGATCAATTGATGACATTATAGAAGACAATGCGCTCGAGTTTTGTCTGATTTCTGGTATCTCTTGTGGCGAATTGATCGCTACATCCGGTTCAGTACAGGTGCTCAATGGGTCAACTCGTGAACTGAGGCACCGGTAGCCCTGCTTGCCGTTTGGCACACATATGTCATCGCAAGTGCTGTCTTGACAGTAATTATAACCCATTTGTTGTTTAGTCGAGTGAATGATTCGCACGAAATCTATCTCTTCATCCGATTTAACCACAATTTTCACCGCCGATGACATCATATCATCACTTAATCTAATGCGAAATATTTGCTTATTTTGAGCGGACGACCAATATATGGATCCGTTGAACACATCCATTGAGGAACAGTCACTGAAATAAGGTTTCGATATTTTCAGAAGTTTGCGATTATTTCCCATGAAATCAATGGATGCCATGAAATACAACTCGTTATCAATCCATACGATAGACTTCGACCGGAAGTCAATGGCCAGACACACCGAAAGTCTGATATCTTTATAGACCAAAACCCGTGGGTCTGACCCGTCTTCGTTGCATCGCATGATAACCGCCGACCCGTTATTTGGCATATATTCGGACCACACTATGAACCCATCGAAAGGGTTGACCACCAGTTGACCGACTTTTCTATCCCACTCCCACTCGGTATATGGGTAGTTGGTTATAGGGTGACTAAGCTCCGGTTGACTGGCACTGGTTACCAAGATGTTGGTATAGTTCATGTAATATATGAGGTCATGGATCAAATCGATTGCCACATTACTGAAATGCCAGCCCTTGGAGGCAATTATCGATTGTCTTGTGTACCGAAGTCTAGTTAAGCCGTCGATTGGGTTCACCATTGCCTGATAGTCCATCACATATACATAGTTTGAGTTCAACACAGCTATATACTTGTTGTGAGTATTTATATCAAGGTGACTGATAGATCTATAAATCCTGGTTAGTACTGTTGAGGTGTTGGCGTATATGACATCCGGTTCCCCATTGAGAATGTGGTAATTAATTCCTCGCCTGTTAAACATAATAACCGGTGTTTCTATGGCACTGATAGCCATTATACCACATTATGATAGGCATATCATACAAGACATGAATACTAACGACATTAATTATATTGATTATGGCACTTAATCCCAACTTTTATTAATTTTATTTTCTATTTAAACATAAATGTTTCTACCAATAATTATGTTTAATTAATAATTTCAATTTTATATTTCTTTATAAATACAAATTATTTCCATACAATTTATACTAGGTATGTACAATGTACAGGTCATATACTAACTCATACGCTTACAAAACTTTATTTCTTAATAGTTTGCAAGTTTAAATACATATCAAAATAATTTTATATAGTCTGATTAGAAATCCTAGAAATCTTAGAAATATAAATTATATGTTTAGCACATTGATACATTAATAATAATTATATAAATTAACAATACAATGTATTAAATTTTTACATACAAATTCTAAGTTTTCTAAGAAATAGCTTAAATATAGTAAATCTACTTTTACATGGTAATTTACCGTACATTGACGTTTTAAATAACTTACGGTAATACGGTAGTATTTCTTGTTATTTATGAACCCAGGCAATTTTTCAATGATGTATTGAATTTGTTATAAAACAACTATTTTATTATATAATATTGCATAACATTATATAACTTACTGTATAACAACATCAATGTGTTGGACACACATTCAAATACTGATTAATAACCGGTTTATAAATAATACAAATATAATATTTACTTGAACATACAATTCTTTATAAAAATTCTACCTCTAAGATACTGTACTAGTTCATATGAATTATAATTATTCCCATCACTCTATTGATACTTTGCTAGATAATCGCGCGGGTAGTTCTTGTGACAATGATTACCAAATGGCAATAGGTCTGAGAGTAGGTATGTGCCAGTAATCTGACACAATTTGTGTATTTATTAATTTTTTATGCATAATAAATACATATAATTCTAATCTAGTAACTTTAACTTGAAATTGAAATAAGTTGAAATAAGTTGCATATAATTATATAATTCAATAATTGTTACTTTATAATTTTTAATAAAATAATCTACTAGATTTACAATGGCTTCTTATATTATGACATATAAATTAAATTACTAAAACATAATCGATGCATAATTTAACAAAATATATAATTATATCTAAATAATAACAAGCATAATTTATAAATTATAACAATACTGTAAGCACAAATATTAAACCATACAATAGTGCCTTAAATGGCCCGCATATGGGACTCGTCAGGTGGGGCGGAGGGCCTACTCTTATAGACCTTCGGGTAGAAGCGCTTCTGTATCTCGTCGATGGACTGACCCTTAGTTTCGGGCAAATAAAAAATGAACAAGGTGGACAGCACGCAAATGCCCGTAAACATCCAGTAGGCCCCGTACTTGTGGGCCACTCGGGCCAAGTCCTCGAACTCCTTGGTCACCACAAACACGAATATCCACACGAATACAGAGCACGTGGATTGTATAAAGCCTACATAAGCCGTGTTACAGATCTCCGTAATGACGATCCATATGACAGAACTGAAGCCGATGGAGTAGGCGCTCACAAACACCCCCAAGCATACGATGGGCAGTACGCTGGACTCCGGGTGCGCCGACACCTCCGTAGCCGTGATGTACGGGTCTAGTAGTGATGACAGTGTGCTGGTGGTGGTGAGTGGGTTGACTGTGGCACCGGTATCCGAGCCCGGGTTCTTGTAGTAATAATAGCCCAAAACAGCTAAACTTATCGTATGTCCCGTTCCGCTCACTATTAGTAGTATCTTACGGCCCAAACGGTCTATCAGTGCACAGCCTATAAGGGTGGCCACAAACATACTACAGTTAACTACAATGACCGCGTACTTAGGCTCCATGGATGACCCTGAGTCTATGAATATCTGGGTCATGTAAAACTGTATGGCATTAATACCGGAAAATTGCTGGAAAAAGCACAAAAGTATGCCTATGAGTAACGGCTTATACACGTCCTGACGGGCCAGTAGCCTAATGCTAAAACCCGAGGCCTTTTGGGACTGAATGCTGAGCACCTGTTCCTCCAATTCGTCCAATTCCTGGTCGATGTCACTGTTGGGGTGCCGGAGCTGATGGAGGGCCTCGACTACCCGTAAACAACGGCCAAACTTCAACATAAGCCAATTGGGCGACTCCGGGATGAAAAACATGGACAACGACAGGAGCACTGAGGGTATTATACCGCCAAAGGCTACCCAATTCCACGGCAACCATATGCTCAAGATATCCATGTAAAGTATGCCGAACACTCCGAAAACCTACGCAAAGTTAACTTGATTATTTGTATAATTATAATTTTTATGCTTACTTTAAATGCCATTCCCAACAAACCCCTGATATTTGGTGTCGAAATCTCGGTTACGAATGTGGGAACAGACACTGAAAATGCATTTCCATAAATATATTTTAATTTTGCTTGATAATTTTTTATTTTAATTAAAATGTTCACCTAATATAACACCAGTGCATAAGCCGGTGACTACACGACCAACAATTAGTAGCCATACTTCGCGTCCAAAACTTTAAAAATACAATATTTTTATATTATACTATATTTTAATGATAATTATTAGATTAAGGGAATGCCTCATCAGCAGATAACCCGCAGTAGAGGGAAAGCCTAAATATAATAACGTCCGCCGGCGGCCAAAATACTCGATACAAAAACCTATTCAATGATCAAACATTTTAAATTTTAAAATAAATAACAAGTTAAAATTTCATAAAAATAATCAATAACTTGTTGTATAATAACTTTTAAAATGTTATTAATTTAGATTTTCAGTACCAAACTTGAACTATTATTTAATCTTATAACAAAATTTAAATTCCTATTTATATAACTTAGAAATTAAATAATTATTAAATTTAACAAAAATAATACTGATAGAAAATAAAAATTGATCTTTTATATAAGCCATATATCAATATAATTCAAAAAAGTTGTGATATTTTGAAATATACCGAAAATCTACAGTTTGGACCATATTTTTGTATTTTTAATCATAATTCAGAAATGTTGTATGAAAAATTTTAAAAAATATTACTACACTGTAAATACAGACAAAAAGGTTTTGAGAGTTTTTTTTCGTATGGCCTAGTTGTTTAATGTAAATATACTCAAATGTATATATTTACCTCCAATTATGCCCCCAAATAGTGCACCCAATGTCACACTGGAGCCAATCCATGTTTTAATATCAGTATCATGGGCACTATTCGTTAGACGGGGCTTACTATCACTGCGGGCCATATCTGCCAGCGCCGGTCCAGTCCAGCCTAATATTATCATAACATTTATAAACCAAATAAACTAATTAATTATTTTTGTATAAATATCACACAATTGTAAACAAACCTAATGAACAGCCAAATAGTATGGACCCCATCTGTACTGCCAAACACGCCATGTATAGCTTGGCGGAGGGAAGCCGTCTATTTTGCGACTGAATTCCCATTATTTAATTATAAAACACAATTAAAAAAATAGATTTTTAAGATTTTTGTGTTTGTTTTGTCATAACTATACTATGTGAAATACTGTGAAATAAGCATCAATTCAATTAGCACTGATTTCATGTTTCTAATGCTTATAATATGTTTATTATAATAATAATTCACTTTAATTTGGTTGAAATTGATTATAAAAATCAATGGTATTTAGGATTACTAGTAAATGTTATTCAATAACTGATAGCATATAGTATAGTAATTGGTATTATTATATGTCATCTATTAAGTTATCACTTAAGCATTAATGCGATGATTAATTGAGATAGTTGAGTTAGATATTATACAGTAGTATAATATGCCCAAAATTATTTGCATCTTTTACATAAATTTTCAGTATAGTCGACACTGTATGGCAATTGTTGAGTGCAATGATTGTCAATAAATGTTGTTTAGAAATATTTTATTTATAGTACAAATTAAATAAATATAATATTTAAATTAGTATACAATAGTTTATTATAACATCGATATGTGAAAATAACATTTAATTATTAATTTTTAGTTGAACATTTATCAATTAAATTAATTAAACAAATTAATGCTTTCAGTAAAATTTAACAACATATAAAAATAAAACCTAAATAATACCAAGATTAATTCATACGTCAATCACACAATAGTGCCTCAAATGGCCCGCATATGGGACTCGTCAGGTGGGGCGGAGGGCCTACTCTTATAGACCTTCGGGTAGAAGCGCTTCTGTATCTCGTCGATAGATTGGCCCTTAGTTTCGGGCAAATAAAAAATGAACAAGGTGGACAGCACGCAAATGCCCGCAAACATCCAGTAGGCGCCGTACTTGTGGGCCACTTGAGTCAAGTCTTCAAACTCCTTGGTCACCACAAACACGAATATCCACACAAATACAGAACACGTGGATGTAATAAAGCCTACATAAGCCGTGTTACAGATCTCCGTAATGACGATCCATATGACGGGACTGTAGCCGATGGAGTAGGCGCTCACAAACACCGCCAAGCATATAATGGGCAGTACGCTGGACTCCGGGTGCGCCGACACCTCCGTAGCCGTGATGTACGGGTCTAGTAGTGATGACAGTGTGCTGGTAGTTGTGAGTGGGCTGGCGGTGGCACCGGTATCCGAGCCCGCGTTCTTGTAGTAATAATAGCCCAAAACCGCTAAACTTATCGTATGTCCCGTTCCGCTCACAATCAATAGTATCTTACGGCCCAACCGGTCAACCAGTGCGCTACCTATAAGGGTGGCCACAAACATACTACAGTTCACTACAATGACCGCGTACTTAGGCTCCATGGATGACCCTGAATCTTTGAATATCTGGGTCATGTAAAACTGTATGGCATTAGTGCCGGAAAATTGCTGGAAAAAGCACAACAGTATGCCTATGAGTAACGGCTTATACACGTCCTGACGGGTCAGTAGTCTAATGCTGAAACC